TTCATACACGAGCACGTCTCTATGCTGTCGTCACATGCTCTAATAAGCGCCTAGTTCACGTCTATTCCAGCGAGTTCTACTAAATATGCATATGTATGTACTTGCACTTGTGTTAGGTACTCGCATACGTACTACAGCTGCTACACGAGTTGCTTATGAATAATGCAGCAGCATAATAAATAATCTCGCGAGCATAATTTGTAAGTAAATATGTGTGAGTGTGTGTTTTGTTTTGTCGCTCAAGTTGTGTATTTGTGTGTATGGACAAGGAAGTTCACGGCTATTGGGTATATTGATGCCGCAATTTGTGGCTTGTTTCAGTGCAATGCGGAGATAAATGGGTATGCTGGGGCGTATGAGTAACATTTATTGTATATGTGGTATTGAATATAACACACTTCAGCAAATTAATAGTGGTGCTTATTATGTTTAAATATTAATAAGAACAAAATGATTTGCTAAGTAGCAGATATTAAGTAAATAAAGCCAAATTTCATAAAGATATCTGCTCAAATAAAGTAGTTTTCTCTGCAAAAACTTGATTTTGATTGTTCATTTTGTATGATAGCATTATGGTATAGTATTTCGATTTGAGAACTTTCTTCCGATATGAGAGCCTTGTTTTGGAAAATAATTCGTACCAAATTTCGTGAAGATATCTGTCGAAATAAATTAGTTATCCATACAAAAACTTGATTATGATAATTCAGTCTATATGACAGCTATACGTTATAGAGATCCGATCTGCAAACAAAAAATCAAAAATTGATGCATAGCCTTGGAATATAAATTAGGCCAAATTGCAATAAGATATCTCCACAAAAAAAGTAGTTTTCCATACAAGAATTTTATCTGGATTGGTCGCTTTGTATGACAGCTATAGGGATCCGATCTCGAAAGTTTCTTCAGATATTTGAAGCAATGTTTTAGGAAATAATTTAGTTCAAATTTTGTGCAAATAACTCGCCAAATAAAATTTTTTTCATACAAGTGCTTAATTTTGATCGTGCAGTTTGTATGGCAGCTATATGATATAATGATCCAATCTCAAAAATTTCTTCGGATATGGGAAAGTTGTCTCGAAAAATAATTTGTGCCAAATTTCATGAAGATATCTCTTCAAACAAAAAAGTTTTCCATACAAGAACTTAAATTTAATAATTCAGTGTATATGACAGCTATATCATATAGTGAACCGTTGTGAAAGCAAAACCCGAAAATTAAAGCATACCATTGGGTAATAACTCGTGCCAAATTTCGTGAAGATATTTTTTAAAACAAAAAAGTTTTCCATACAAGAACGTTCAGTTTGTATGACAGCTATATCATATAGTGATCCGATCTAAAAAATGTCATCAGATATAGAAGATTTGTTTTGAAAAATAATTCGTGCCAAATTTCGTGAAGACATCTTTTCACAAAAAAAAAAGTTTTCCTTACAAGAACTTGTTTTTGAACGTTCATTTTGTATGGCACCTATATGCTATAGTGATCTGATATCAGCCATTCTAACAAATAAGCAGCTTCTTGAAAGGAAAATGATATGTGCAAAATTTCAGATCGATATCTCTAAAGCTTTGAGACTAGTGCCCACATACGCAATCAGACGAACCAATGGACATTGCTAGATCAACTCTGTTCCTCATTTGCATATACATATACAATTGTGTTAAACACTTTATCGCACCTTAACCGAAACAATTAAATTACTACTCAACACAATGATACAAACTTTTCAATATGCCACATATTATAAATAATTTTGCCCACAGCACAAATTCCCTCAACCTCATACACTGCATACACCCCTTGCCTTGGCAGTTGTCATATATTGTATTACAAATATTTTTATAAACTGATATCCCTGCTAACTTGATATAAAAACATTACCATGACAGCACATTCTAATTTCATTCTCATTTTATTCGATTTTGCCTCGGTCTTTTTTTAGCATTTTCATGCAAAAAGGTCCTTCGTCGCCTTGAGGACTCTACTCTATCGCCTCCTAATAAAAAAAAACATAATAAAAGAAATTCGAAAAAACATAACACAGTTGGCAACATGGCCGCACAAACAACAGCAATGCGGTCTCAAGTGAAAAAGCTCGCACACTCGGTGCTGATAAGCCGAGCTCAAAAAATTAACCTTCCGGCTAGTTGTTTGGGGAATTTACTAATTTCCCAATTTGGATTTAGTGGACTTTATGTGACCGTTGTCAGCGCGCTCAGCAACAAAAAGTTGCTGCAAAGGCGCCGAGTGTCCAACTGCCAGCTGTCAGTGCATTTGTGGACGTGAATTTGTTACTAGGATTATGCAGGCAACAACAATAACACGCTGGCAACTATAAATAATTCTCTTTGCACATATACAGACATACTTACAGACCTTTTTATAAGCCTCTAATTTTCACTTAGCTTATTGCCTTTACACACACGCGTACATACCTGCAAATAGAGAAAGAGAACAGAGAAAAGGAATTATAATTTGTTTTTTTCATAATTCAACATTAGAATAGTACGAGTAGCATATATTATATATGTAAGCACGATTATGTAATTATTTATATTTTTTGTTCGCAGTGTTGAAATTTTAAGGGTGCGCTATAAGTAACCTTCTCTTCGAAATTAAATTAAGTCAATCAAAAGTGGCGAAAAACGAGTACAACGGACTTATATAAGTCCAATGTCATTCAAACTGAAATATTGTGATATAAGATGATATTATGGCAAAATAAATTAGCCTGATAGAACACTGCTTAATATTTATTATTTTGAAAACTTTTTAATAGCAGAATTGTCTTGGAGAATTAGTGAAATAATATCAAAACTTCAACGAGCTAATGTGCTTCTCTCCTGAAAAACTTTCGCACTTATGAGTGTATCTCAAACGTTAACGTGGAAACTCGTAGTTAGTGGAAGAGCTAGCTCATGTCTTGCAGCATGCCAAAAAATCTCTTGAATCTAATTTCTAGTTGCGAATCTGTGCTACATCATATTAAAATCGATTGATCCATTTATGAAACGCATGTTGATGAAACATGGATTACTTACGACAACGTAAAACGGTAAAGCTCACTCCACAAGCTACTTGAGCTTTGTTAGGAGGTTTCTAAGCATCCACCTCATACTCTGGACTTGATATCATCACTATATTTATGTTGCGAATAATTTTGGAAAGGTTCATCTCAGCAAAACTTGTGCAAATAGTCCAAGTTTTTGGCAAAAAGGAACGAAGATTTTTATAATACATATTTGATCGAAATCAAATCATTTTAACTATTGTAAATAAAAGTTTAAAGTAAATGCAAAACTAATGGATTTCTTTACTAGGCCTTATACACCGAACTGCAGCTTAATTCAGTGAGGAGTGAATTCGTTCACTGACTGTGTGTTCAAAACAAGTCAAGGAGTGCATGACCTCATTAGCAATAGCCTCAATCTTCTTATACATTAAAATTGTATGCAGAACCAGGTCGCAACGGAATCACCGGAAACAGTAAAGCCGATAAGCTTTTTAGAGCTCACTTTCCCCAATTTTGGCTTCTAACATAGTCAATCCTGCTACAATGGTAGGTTTTTCCACTGGATACTGATTAAAGCTTGTATAAAGGAAGCCGAGATGGAATCATCAGGCCATTTTTCCTCTGTTCCCCGGCTTTTACCAGACCGAAATTGAACTATCTCGGTAAACACATCTTTGGCGAATCCAGTGAAGGTGTTGGAACTGATGTTTGCAGCCCGAATAGATTGCGGTAATCTCAAAACTCTTCGTCGAGCAGCTAGCATCTGGTGATCCACTTTTACAAAGACAAAGACGGGTAAGACAAAGGACGAATATACATACTTATATGTACTTAAGTGATAGTCATTGTTTTTTTGAATCTACCCTATGATCTAACTTAATTTAATTTAACTAGACCTTATAAATTCCTATAAAAAAAAAAWAATAATAAAAAGAAATAGAAAGCGTAAATAATACGCTACGAATAGAATTTCAAGATGTCGAGCAAGGGTTCTTCACTTCTTCAATTTTCCGTATCGCCTATTCTCGAGTACGTAGGTTCACCTTTGTTTGGACACACCTCCGCTTTTGTGTTACAGTAATTTGAAATATTCATCTCGGTAAAAAAATGGAATTAAATCGTGAACATTTTCGCGCGATTATGTTTTACAACTTTCGACTTGGCTTAACTCAGCAACGGTGCATTGATTAACTTGATTCAATTATTGCCGATGAAGCTTTATCAAAGATCAGTGTGGAATGAAGTTTGATAATCAAAGACCTAAATGATAGAATATTCATTGAATAAAGTTGCTCAAGGTCTTAAAATATCGACACTATGATCCAAAAGTGATTGGGTGTTAATCTAGCCAAAATGAAATCATGTTTGTCACTCTTGCGATTGCATCTTTAAAAAGAGGTATGGTAATAACTAAAGGCCTTTTTAGATCAGAATTTTCAGAAAATTTGAATATTGAAATTGATATTTTAGACCTATCCTTGACATGAAATCCCAAATTGGCTACGGAATTGTTTTGTATGATTGAATCTTACTCTCAGAGATGAGCTGAGTTCTACGCCACAAAAGTCAGTAAATTTTGTATGGCTGCTGTCTTGGGATGATTTTCGAACTGTGCTTTTGTTTTTCATTTTTTTTTTTTTCGATACTTACTCCAAGGAATTTATTGGCTTTGCTTTCTGGATCAAGGTATACAATGTTTTCGCTTTCTGGCATGTTTTCGTTGACTAGAGAAACTAGTGGACATTTTGCTGTGCCGACCGATGTTTATGACCGATTTTTGGGAATCGACAAAACTTTTCCATTTGCTACGTTAATGTAGGAAAGACATTATATTCATCTACAAACACTCGCAGATTAACCAACTCACCACAATTTACCTTGTACTTTGTGTTTTCGGTAATTTTTTTTTTATCGAATTTAAAAACACAGAATTTTAATTCAAAGCATTCGATTTTTTTTCTATCTTTCTCAAAAGCAAAAATAGTATTAAACGTGAAAACAATATATCGAAATATAAATATATATATTTTACTCACTTTACACTCGCCCCAAAGCTAGTTTTCAGACAACGAATAGATGGTCAAGGAAACAACGATCACGTCCGCAAAAAACTGCGAAACGCACGTGCGCACCGTCAGCACGCCGCTCAACTTGCCGCTCTTCTTATCAGGAAGCAAGTATTACCATAAACTAGCTTTTGACTTCGTTCTTAAGACGGCCTTAAAAGCTTCCGATCTCTAATAATAATGTTTTTATTTGAAAGGAACGCGTTTTAGAGATGACGCTTGGCGCAAGGTGCCCAACTACATTGAGAAGAAGAAGCATTTTTACGCAAAATACTGCAATGAAGGTAACAAGCACTAATTTCAACCGTTACTTAATGCACCGTATACAATTTGCAGAAAAGAAAGTGGAAACAAGAGATGTGAAAGATTTGAAAAACATGATTGGCGTGAATCGTGCGCGAGCCGAACGCTGTACCAATTTGCATATAACAAAAATCACACGACAATTGGGTGAAGACAAAGCATGGAATCTGCCACCGAACATATACAACACGAAGCGGGAGCCATACGAAAGCAAGCGCGGTCACCTCGGCTCCTATTGGCCCAAGGAGGCCAAAAAGATCACTAATATATTTGAGCCGACTTCAGTCGAATTGGCACGTGCGCGTGTTAAGAAGGAGCAATGGAAGTTCTATGACTTGCCGACGAATGCAGATTTGCTCGCTGCACCCTCAAACCAGCACAAGGGTGTATTCTTAACGAGTAAGCGCCATAACGTTTTTCTCAAAAATTACCGCTGCAATTCCGTTTCACTTTTAGATGCGCGCGACAGACGTGCCACAGCGCGTTGCATGATTAACGAACCGTCTTTGGTGTACCGCGATCCGGCCGAACCCTCGCCAGCGCACTACAATCCGTTGCGGTATCAGCTCGCCTATAATGTGTAAGTGCCGAGGTGTGTTTTGAACGACCAAAATTATGCATGCATTGAAACTGTCTTTAGCTCACCACCCTTGTACGAACCGGCGCCGAATCCTCATCTCTTTCTGCGTGGCACTTCTGTGCCCGACAAATGTTTACCGCTGATACGTCGGCACATAAGCTTCGAGCCAGCGGTGGGCCGCTACGAGATACGCTTCCCCATGCATTGTGGTTGTTCGCGCAAAATTCTAACTCCTGGCTTGCGTTTGATTGTCGACCGCGAGAAACGCCTCAAATTCCGTCGCTTGCCATATAAGAAACTCAAAACACGTAATCTATGTTCACCCGATTGGGGGCATGTGAAGGGACGCGGATTTCGGCGTCTCTTTCGCATTTCGAAGGCGTTGGCTAAGACGCTTGGCAGAGAAAAGTTTCGCGAGAAGTCCAAAGAGAAGAGCAAAGAAAAGACTGAGAAAATGGGCAAGCAGTTTGTGCTTTATCCAGATTCGAAATATATAAATATGATCAATTCACCGCGCAAAGACCTCATATCGGTGCATGTGGGCGGTACACCGAAAGTACCCGTTAGAATACGTTTCAACTGTATCTTCAGGCGTGTGACGCGTCGTCAACTGCGCAATAATAAGAAAATTGTATTCAACAGCGGCAGCGAACGATTTCCGGAACTCGAAATACGTCCGGTACAACTTACGGCCAGACAATTGGAGGAGTTAAAGAATACACTGCCACCTGAGCGTCAATTGCGCGACTATCCGATAACGAGAAGACCTTTATCACAAATCAGTTCGCACTTGTACGACACGCCTACACATATGCGTCCGGCTTATGAGCCGACCTTGCGTAAACGGCTTTTCAAATTTAAACCATTGCCTGAGCCGAAAGTACTTGTGTCGGAGAAACTATTTCGCTCCACTAATCCAGAGGTGCAATTTTTCTACAATAAACCAGTCGTTGCTGAAAACTTCATGAAAGATCGTAGGAAAACCGAATCTTCCCAACATTACTCAAGCATTGAAATTGGTGCCGAGGATAGTACAAATGGCGCTGTGGCTCCTACTGGAGAGGCTTAGCACTTACAAAAGAGGCTCCTACTGCAAAGATATAGGAAGTTTTGACTTTCACATTTTATTTGTAACTCTTTAGTGTGTACATTCAATAAATTCTAGTGTTTTTTTATAACTCTAAACTTTAGAGTCTAAAGTAACTTCTTCTAGTTGGTTCATCTCTCTCTCTCTCTCTCAGCCAGAGCGTGGCATAAAGTATGAAACAAGTAACAGCAGAGAGTGAGTAACATATTGTACACCAAAGCTGGTAACTCGCGAGCACAAAACTGGCGCGTTATACCGTAGATCCAAAAGAGCGTTGCTGGACGTGACAGTTGGCGTCACACATGTCTCATTGTTTTATTAAACCGATTTCTCGGACGTTTCATTCGTGATGAGTTTACTTTGTTAGAGGCTTTTTCGGAGACAGCAAAAGGGCCGACAGCTGTGAGCTGACATGTCAAGCAAGTGAGGTTTGTGAGGTTAAGATATGAATATTTATTTCAAGAAAGGTATAGGCTGAAGGAATTGGTTTGTAACGCTAGAAAAGGAGGATGCAAAAAAAAAACCAAAAGAGGATGGAAGGCACGTATGACTAGAGTCTGTTAGTATACAAAAGTTGAGATCTACATATGTTTGCAGAAGAAGCGGCTTATTCACATATACCCAACAGCAGCTACAAATGAATAATTGAGGGGGAAACGGCATTAAATAATAATAAAATGCAATGCAAAAACTGAGAATGTGTCAAAAGCACGTAATATGGATTTGTGCTCGACAAATATGATGCCTTGCATATGACGAGTTGCCACAAACCAAAAATTAAAAAAAAAAAAATTGTTAAAAGCTGTCAATGGAATAAGATGCGGCATAACTTGTATCTGGAAGAGTTCTTTAAACAACAAAATTGGGAAATCAATAGGAAGGACGTGTTGCGCTTTCAGAGAGCTCAGTGTTTTAAACGACTTATCTTTGTTGGAGATTTATTTGTGGCTTTAAAATGACTGCTCCTGTCCTCGGTAATGAAGGAAATACCTTTTGGTGGACAACAGAACTAACTTAGATCAAATCTTCAAGCAGAAGATCTTCAACAAAGTTCGCGAAAGTTGCTCTGGTGACGATTGTGTCACAACAACAAAGCCCGTAGAAGTGGCACTGTTGGTGATTGGACACTGTATAAGGCAGTTCTAGCTTTATATGTAAAAGTCCAAGGTAAAGAAAGCCAAAAAAGCCTTGAGGATAGCCTTCTGTGGCAGAGTAGAGGGCTGTCTTACTTCACTGGGGTATGAAAGAAATGTTGATGGTAGCTGGACCGCTGAACAGCTTAAAAAAGGTTGTAGAGAAATATTCGACTTTCTGGATCAACGTCAACTCACCTGTGCCCTGAATTCATTCAAAACTTTCAACCTACCGATTATATTAAGGCCCATTAGCGAATACTCATTTCTGCTCAAAGCATTAGAAACTCCTTACAGAGAGCTTCAGAACAATCTTCGACCTTTTGGAGGAATGTCACCTCACCTTTAATGTCTCTGTTAACCCAAGAGTAGCTCAGCGTAATGTCGAATCGGGCGAATAAAAGTGGTATAGTAAAACGAATATTGTTTTATTAATCAGGAGGTATAAAATTCCGGACGTCCCACTCTCCTTATTCGGCGGCTCTTGCCTTCAACATTTTGATAAGGTGAATGACTTGAGGCTTATTCTTGATAGGAAGCTTCATTGAGGTCAATAAGATAAAAGGCTAAAGAAGCCATCGGTTGTCTTATACTGCTGTAGTGTGCAGCAATAGCGAAGAGCTGGAGCCTCTAAAAACTTATCGAATTAAACTGGGTTGGATCTCCGAAAATGCGGCCCTCGACCTTAAAAAATCCAGGTCAATTCTGGTGACGTAGAAACGGTTGTTATGAGAATTGCTTTGCATCGTTGGTTATGGTGTTTTGGCTCCATGGAAAGAGCTCGAAGAGGCTATAGTCAATCAAGAATACAATGAAATGAACTGACTATATACAGAGGGAGTCAAATCCATTTTTGTTAAAACTTTTCTTTTAAAAAATTCTACTTTGTTTTTTCATATATATTGGTTGATTTTTATTCATAAATACGATAGCTTCATTTTTTCCTACACTATTTGACTACCATACCTACTCCATGAAAATGACCACACTAGTTTAAATCTTGATAAATATACAATCGCGTGACTATTTTTTGAGTAAATTTTGCTTTGACACGCAAGTCGTGAAGGTAACAAAGGAAAGCATAGTGGCCGAAAAGGATATGTAAACAGCACTTAATATATACTATATATTATATATACTAGGTATAATAACATAATAGAAATGATACAAAGTCAAACAAATAACTTACTTATCACATTTTTATTGCCTTTAAATAGGAATCATTATTTTTTTTCTGTAAAGTTGAGTTTGTTGTACAAAGGAGCCTTCTGATTAACACTTACGTCGTAATCCATAAAATATTGGATTGTTTATTCGCTATTCGGCATAGTAAAAGAAAAAGTGCATGAATTAATTTCGAGGAGGGTGTCGATTTGACAGTTATTGGCCGAATAAAAACCCGGATCCATTCCCCTTACTGAGATCAGGTGAGTCTTTGTGATTTAGGAAAGGGCACAATACACCTAAGGTAGCAGTGCATTCCTTGTTTATCTATCTAACCTTCGACCGCAACAGTACCTATTGGAAGCTCCAAACGTGTATCTTTTTCCAAGTTCGAAAATATTGCTTGCGTTTGTTTGGGAACGTCAGCCAACTCGAAGAGGTCAATTTGATATCCCAGCATAATAAACTTTCGTTAAATAAATTCTCAATTTCAACTAAACCATCCATACCAGTGATAAGTGCCTTAAAGAAATTTATGCATATAAAATTTTATATACAAAATAAGATACCCATTTAATACAGTGAAATTCCTTGTACTCATTTTCAGCCCTGTTCTCATTCGCCGTCTATAGTTGACAGCTGTCAATTGCAGCAAAGAGAATACTGACAAATTCTGACAGTTTTCTTAGCATTGTTGTTTCCAGCAGCTAGGCAAGTAATATTTGCGTGTTTAACAAATGAAATCAGAGTTGTATTCATGCACATGAAACGCGCAAAAGTATGGGTATACTCGCTTCACTTATACTCTCTTCATTCAACGTGGATGAGATACGATGAGATTACCAGACACAATAGAAAGCATTGCTTTGCAGTTCATACAACGAATAGAGCAGATGCAAAAACTACATTACTGGACTTACTGGACAGAGAAAAATTGGTAATGAGCAAATGAACAATTATGATCTGCAATATAGGAGTCTAATTTAAATTCTTCGCAGTATGGTAAGAGAAAAAAAATTTGTTAATTCTTAGAAGGCACTAATCAAGGGTGATCCTTTTCGCGGGACCCTACTTTCGTCTCAGGTTAACGTTGAATTCAATATCCGAATGACATAGGTGATGTTTCTGCTCCAAGGCCTGAACCGCAGCGGAATTGTTAACGTTGTGATATCACACGGTCTTCGTACCAATTGATCGACGCCAAATTTGAAATTATCTGCTCATCAAAGTGTTCTCTCAATAAATTCATTGATTTGTGCGTTCTGTGAGAAGTGGCTCCGCCTTGTTGAAACCAAATGTAGCTGAGATCACGAGCTTAAATTTCAGGCATCAAATAGTCGGTTGTTATGATATGTATGTATGTACATATATGGACCGATGATTCCATTGGCTCAGAAACCAAAACAAACGGTTGATTTTTAAGGATGAAATGACAGCTGTTGAATCTCTACAGGTTGCGTTTCGTTCCAAATGCGGCATTTTAGCTTGTTTACATACCCATTGGCCAGAAATGGGTCTCTTTCGTTGAAGAAAATTTTGTTCGAAAGCGTCGGATCTTCTTGAAATATTTCAAGAGCTGCTTATTTGTCGGATCCGCCCATAACTGATAACTAAGGCCTGTATTTCAACGATCGGAATCGTCGTTGTATGTGATAATTTGGTATAGATTATTTTCCGAGGCAATGCAAAAATACTTGAAGAAAGTTTTCAGAACAAAATATTCTTTTATTCATTTCAGTGACTCAAAACTTGAAGTAGAACACAAGTTACAGCAGTTTAGGCACTGTTGAGAAACAATATTGCGACTCAGGCTTCAATTTAACTGAAGCTTAAGTGTTTACTGTATAGTAAAATATTTAGAGCCTCAACTATTGTACACAAATTCCATACATTAGCCAAAAAGTGGTAATAATCTCTAAAACAATAACAATAGATGATACTGATAGCGTTGACAAGTGCAACAAAGACAACTACAAATTGCTAGCTTCTGTTTTATGCACGCACCAAAAAGCCACTTACAACTTCCTATTGAGCTAAAAGCATAGAGCAGTACTTGCAATCAATTTTACCCACGCCAAGTGGTATAAACATGGGGGTGACAACTGGCTAACGTATCCTTTTGGCTACCCCAGCTGGCAGACAGCGTGCCGTCTTCACTCTTCATCTACTGGCCAATCAATATGATCCTTTTTCGTTAGCATTATTGAATTTAATCCCAGTGCAGCGCCATAACACTGGTGCTTCTACATCACTTACTCACTCTCTCGGCAATCGCGTGTCATTCTTATTATAGCAAAGTGTTGTTGCTACGCTGATGGATTTTTTGTTTGCATGTTTGCTTAATAAATATGGCTCGCAGTCTTTTATGTGAGCTGCAAAGAATCGTGTAATATTTTCGATACACTTCCTATTGCCCTCACAAACGGCACCAGCTGGTTGTTGTAAGAATAGATATGTTTGTCTGTATTGGAAAACTGATTATGGTGCTTTGCGAAAAATATCCGATTGAGCGATAAAGTAGCTTACTTTTCGAAATTGTTGTTCATTTAGCCAAACATTTGAAATGTAATTTAAAGTGCATTCAAGGGTCTCCTACACGTTCTTCTTTCCTTAGTTAAAGGAAATAGCATTCGTCTGGGGTCAGCATGCCAAATTGTAATTTGGTGAAGCAGAAAAGCTTCAAGCTCATTAAAAATCATTTGAGCGAGTAATTGTATACCCATGTTTCTTTGGAAAGATTTACAGCTTAGTTTATTGAATGGGAAAAAAACTAAT